GCAGACTTAGAAGTAAGTCAAGGAGCCGCTTGCAAATTCAAAGCCAGATTCACCGCACTAGATTAAATCCCACATCAGAACCACAAATAAGTCCAATCAAGTCTGTGTAGGATCTGTTTTGTTGTTTAACAAAAACCTTTAGCGAAGTTAGCTCTCTTGTTAATGGGGAACTCAGACTAGTGTAAAACGGCGCTCTGGGTCACGTGACTCATTTATTGACTGATCAGACCCTCTTAACTGAAGGCCGCCACATACGCCACGACGTACTGTGGGCATACTGACTGTCTCAGAATGTCCGCCCTAACCTCTAAATCCCTCAATTTCTATAAAAAGCGGGGACTATATACAGGACATTATAGTGAACTCTATTAACTGACCGTTTGGACAGATGATCGCTACTTTTCATCTCCCGTTGGTCATATAACTCCGCCTAAGCGCATAGTCTGTGCCATCTTTTATTTGCCGCCACAACAAATCCAGTGATTTGCGCATTCTCCGCACTAGACAAGCAGGTACAAATCCGATGATTTGTTGTACCTGCTGGGATGAACCTGCTTGTCTAGTGCGGAGTATGCGCACATTTTCTGCGGAGGGTGGAGACTTCATAATCAAATGTATCAGTCATGGCGACAGTGGCGTTGGATGTAGGAGTTTGCCCTGCAATCGAAGGGTTGACGGTTCAAGCCCCGACTCCGACTTTCAGTGTCGTTGTGTCCTTGGGCAAGACACTTCACCTGTATTGTCTACTGATGGTGGTCAGAGGGCCCGGTGGCGCCAGTGTACGGCAGCCCCGCTTCTGTCAGTGAGCCCCAGGGCAGCTGTGGCTACAATGTAGCTTGCCACCATCAGTGCGTGAATGGGTGAATGAATGTAGTGTAAAGCGCTTTGGTCAAGTCTCCTAACATGAATAAAAGCGCTATATAAGTACATGCCATTTACCATGGCATTTCTAACCTCCGCTGTGAGATGCTCTTCAAATTTTGCCTCCATTTTGTCCACGAGATGGCGCCAATTCTCTACTTATCTGCTTGATGTCACATAAAAAAACAGTTTGATTTGACCACTGTTTCTTGAGCGACATTGTGTAAGAGTACAGGCTCATAAGAACTAAACCTATCCGGTGGACGTTCGCTCCTTGACGTTCGGACCTCAACTACGCCTTAAAGGTATAGTGGAGGATGTTCTTTTTCCCAGTGGATCATCAAAATAAGTGGTCCTCCTAACTGACAATCATTCTGTTGATATGTTTACGTAAGGCCTTCCTACATTTTCAGTTACCATGGTGAGTCTGACATAGTGGAGAAATTACAAATCTTCCATTGGAAAGTAAGCTTTTATCAGCGATACAAAGAGCAACTTTTAAACAGAGCGTGCACAAGGAGACATGGGCTTGTGCATGTTCTCACACGTGTTTAATAGGGATTCCCACTAAGGAGCGGGTACAGGATTGTGCATGTGCATTTTTTTTTTTTTTAGTGGAGAGGGCAGGTCTTTTCAAAAATTTGCGAAAATCCTCCACTACACCTTTAAGTACACATTGGCCTTTGCGGAGTCAAGTGCATCTGAGTATATGCCTTTACATAGACAAGTTTAGGAGAATAGAACATTGACCTCAGAAATCATTTCATATATTTAAATTAAGATAATACTTGGTTGAAATGTTGGTGTTGCCTTCAGAATCTGCAACCTGTCTTTTAACTGAAAATGTAACATTTGTCTCCAGGCTTAAAATCTCTTCATCTGCTTCCTAATATTGCATTTATATTACAAAACTCAAAATCACGACTTTAATGTTAGACTGAAAAGTGCTTACTTCAAATCGCATGCATGGATCGGCGCCTTAGCTACAATTCTCTGCCCTTCTGTGTTGCAGCAACTCACTTTAAGCATAATACTGCCACCTAAAGGTCTGCAGTGAAAAGGTCAGCGTCTTACTTGGGAGTGTCATAGCCATTCAAAAAAATTTGGAAATTTCGATTGCTCAGCTGTAATTTATGCTATTCCAGTGTTCGTATTAACATCCTCACACCTTTGAGAGCGCTTCAGTCAACCAACCAGTCTCTCCTTGATGTTCAGTATCAAAGTTAAACTGTGGAGGCAGCTGCTGTTGCTGCCTCCAGACTGGAATAACTTACCTCCACATGTCCGCACCACTCAGAGCAGAAAATTATTTAAGTGTCTGTTTAAAAACTGTTTTTTTTTTTTCCTGACCTTTGATGATGAAACACCAAATAGTCCTTCGAAGTCTTAAAGTGTTTCCTACTTATTTCTTATATAGTTTTATTTCATTTGCAGTTTTAGGGTTGTTGTTGAAAACGTAAAGGTGTTTGGTAAACTGTTGTTTTTAAATTTTATAAATGGCGCTGACATTGGCCAAGGGTTTAATAGCTGGCTCTATATTTACATTACATTGTGCATTTTCTGCTTACAATATATTCTGTAAATGAGAAAACTTCATGGTTCACCAGGAGGTTCAAAAGTGACAAAGGTATTTTTCCAGTTTTTGTAAAACACTTGAGTTCCTTAAAAAAAGAAATCCCGATTCGGTTTTACGGATTTCGGTTTTCTCTTAAGCCAGAAATACTATTTTGCTTAAACTCATGCATGACGGTGCATTTGTTTTGTCTATGCATAAAGTCTCAAACAGTTCTTGTTGCCATATCAACCTGCGGGGAAGCTCTGGAGGATGTGTTTGCTCGCCGTGGTGCATGAGCCCATTGTCTTCCAGCTTGGATCTAATCCCTGTAACGAAGCGGCTGTTGGATTTATAGACACTCGTAGAGCAGACGGAGGGAGGTTCCCCTGTTCGCTGAGATAATAGCAGTGCACTGAAGTGGAGTGGTTTATACACACACACACATGAACACACACACAGCCTCTTAAGCTCTGCATGTGGCAATTATCTCTCCTCTCAGCAGCTTGTGGCATCTCCCCCATCTCTCTGCTCAACCTCGCCTTCTCTCATTTTATTAATCTCCTCCAAACTTTTTCTTCTTCTTCTTCTTCTCCTTCTTTCCTCTTACGTCTCACTATCGCTCCTTGTGATGTTTGTATCCCTCTTCTCATCTCTTTTCCAGCATGTTCCTTCATCTCTTTTCGTCAAAAAAAAGGAAGTAAAAGAAGGCACCACATCCATTCAAAGTAAAAACCCTTAACATTTTATCTCTGCTCATAAAAGCAGCAGTTTTTTAGTGCAGAGGCTTTGCACTACAGCAAAACATGCACTATAATAGAGATACAAAGCTGCACTACAAAGAAACAGAGTTTGCTTTGAATTCCACACTGATGTAGTTTCTTTTATACCACATTTTAAGAGGAGCTTTCTAATGCCTTTCTCCCCAGACACTCACACTCCTACTATAAGTCTTTTGTATATGTGCACAATTCTTAGAGCTGTTGACCTTTGCTCACTGATTAGCAGATCAGGGTTTGTAAAATTATGTTTCATTGGTTAAAAAACTGGAGCTTCAGATGTTTTATTTGGTAGATGACCATCACATCCCTGAATCAAGATGAAATCATTTTCATCAGGAAAATTGAAATCTGGAGAAAGTGTAACCATCCATAAACACGCAGCTATCTCCAGAAACAGAATAACTCTTCTCTCAATGAGATAAATACCTGGAGCCTTCAGGTTTTACGGGGGACCGCCTGTCTTCAGGTAAAAACCTTCTTTCTCCACTTTTAGGTGATTGTGGCCTTAGGATAATTATCATCAATAATGTGTGACTTTATTACACCCTAATATTACCCGCCTGTTGTGTGTCAGAACTGATGTTTTGCCAAATAGTTTATCTACTTAGAACAGTTCCTCTGTCATCTTCATTCTGCATTTGGCAAAGATTTGGGAATGGAATGAGAGCGGTGTCCTTCAGCTAAGAACAAAGTGTAATATTTTGATATGGCTGGAGCCATGGATGTCTCCTCATCTGCAAAGGTGAATGATGTAATGATGTGATGATGTGGCAGACTGGAGATGTATAAAATGCTTTACGAGATGCAAGCCTGATTGGTAAGCAGCTGCCTTCTGTAACCCTAAGCAACTTCTCTGATCCAGTAAGATTACAATTTCATAATCTGTTGTCATGTCTCCTGGTTATTTAATACATATACTTAATGAAGTGAAGTTTGTCCAGACAGATTTCTTTTCAGGAAAAAGAACCGGTGAGAGAAATCTTCAAGGTGTAGACACAGAGCTTTATAAATAACAAACCAACAGGAGCAGGCCACTAATTCAAAGTAGTTATTCACTTGGCATTGTTTTTAGTTATAAATGTTTAGTTAAATGCTGACTGGACCGGACCAGGTATTCGCACCGAGCCAGCCGGGGACGGAGCGGCCGAACCCGACCCAACAACGGCCTGCCGTACCGTGATTCCCCCCGCTTGCCCGATATGACAGGTTGGGGGAAGCACGGGGCCGCCCAGATTCGGGTCAGGTTCGGTCGCTCCGTCCTGGACCAGCCCCGAGTCGTCAGCCCCGGAGCTGACCAAAATCCAGGACGATTTTGAAATTCCCCCCTGACATTTTTTTTTAGGTATAAAAAGTAGGACATGTCCAGGAAAAGAAGGACGTCTGGTCACCCTACCATATCAACAATTTGATGTTTCAGTGAGTGGGTGCTTGTTGCTATGATGAGTCTTTGCTCAGCAGCTTTGTTAGTTGCCAATGAGTGCACAGCTCATCTAAATATTCATGAGGCTTGCATTAGGGGTCATAGAACAGCAAATATGCCATTTTCAGCCCAACCAATGTTACACACCCTATTCAGAGACCTTAAGGACCAAATACCCTATAGAATCATTCTATGACCCCTTCAATAAACAAGGATAGAAGAAAAAATAAGAGTAGTTGAATTTAAAGGGCAAATTTACAAATTTATGCTAATATAAACTGGATTTAAATGACAAAATTTGAATGTATATTTATTAATAAAAACAAAAATCATGACAGACTACAGACAATAAAATAAAAATGAGTCTACACACTGATTTTGTTGGGACGGTTATACAGAAGGATCTACGATGATGCTTCTTGGTCCACTCACATCAACAAACAGTGCAGTGCAGGTCCAGTTACCGAAGCTGTGCTGCTCGATGGAATGATGCCGATCAAGCTCCTGAATTTCACAATCCAAACAGGAAAGAGTTCCAGTGATTTTCATATAAAAATCAAACCAACATATTACAGTAACTTCACTAATAAAAACATTGAATCTGTAAACTGGCCGGCTTTTGGAGGATTAAAAGATTATTAAAAGATCATACAATAAACACAGGAAAGCAAATTTTCCCCTAAAACTCCTGGAAAATTGTTAACCCATATGGGAACTTTATTTCTCTTTAGTGCAGTTTCCGCAGCCGGTGTTACAACAAAATCTGTGACCCGTTATACATTGTGACCCAAAAGAGTTGAACATGGAATTTAAGTTATTAGACATTCGATTAAATGATTAAACTCACAACGCATTGATGTTTCACTGTATTTATAAAAAAATATAAAAAAATATAAATACAGTGGTCAGAGGAAAATAGGCTGGAATATGTAATGGGTGCAGAGAGGGACAAAGTGGAAAGATGCAGAGAAGAAATTGGACAGAAATTGGTAGATGAAAGTGGGATGAGAAGTTAGGGTAGAACATTTTAAACGTGTCGAGTTTGATCCGAACCGTGTTGATGGAAAAATTAAAAACTTAAATGACAAATTATAAGTTTTCCAAACTTTTCAGCCTTTCTAAATTTAAATCGCCTCACTTTTTTGCTCTTCACACAAGTTCCTGCACAACCAAATTGACTTGAAGCCAAATTCTCCCTTTAGGGAATTCAGCCAGAGTGTAGGAAGCAGTGCAGAGACTCTGCCATGAGAATGAAGGTGTTCCTAAGAATACAGAACTACAGCAGCTTCAGAGAAGAATCTCACCACAGTTTCTCAGTTTTTTTAGTCCCACCAGAGAATGAGGTGCCATCATTCCCTCTGCCAAGTGCCCCTGAGACCCCAGCTACAGTGTGACCGAGTTAACATATAATCACATAGCAGCACACCCTCCTTCACCACTGTCTACACACACACTTCATTGCTGTCCTATAAGAGATAAATGAGCCCCATCAGCCCCCTACCTCCCTGCTAACAGATGAATGTCTGTGTGTATCCCCAGTTTTCCCCTCCTACACATCATTCTCACTTTTAGAACACGCACACGTTCTCTCACACAGACACGAAGTGCCTTATGTCAGCCCAACAGCGAATTTCCCTCCTCTATCAACACAACAGATGATGCAAGGCGATGAACACAATACACGCTTATGCACATTAGCAAACCACATATGCACATGCAAAACCGCTCACACTTGCGCACGCAATCAGACACGCTGTCAGAGGCTGCGGACGAGATATTACAGGAATCAAGAAGCCTATCATCGAGGGGGAAACGTGTCAAAACAGCAGATGCACACCGTGATGTAGGTGGCAGTTACATTGATGGATTTTAGGCTCGTATGTGAGATCTGATCCTGGAGCCAGCTGTGCTGCTCACCACCAGCAACTACTCAAAACTACCCACAGTATAGGAAAAGCTATTAGTATCTTGGACTCATAACCAAGCATCGTTCCAGGTGTATACCCACTTACCTGCACATGAAAACATGGGGGATGCTTTCTTTTTCCAGTGGGCTAGATTCATTAAATACAAGCTGGATAGGATCATCAGTTTATTGCAACACTTTTACGCCAATCAATGAACCTCACTATTATGTCACAGAGTGAGTCATGTTGCTGTAGCTCATATGGGAAGCTGGATAACGGTACTGGTGTCTCTGGGTCTACTGGCTGGATCCTGGTCACTTGCTGCCACTTCGAGGACCTGAAACTGTTATACAGGGCCGTCCCAGGCCTCAATGAGGCCAAAATTAGATTTTTTGGCTAGAGAGGAAATGCAGTCGTTTTGATTCAGGTGTGCTGGAGCAGAGGGAGGGAGAACAGTGGGAGCTGAGAGCATCTGATCAAAACCTTAATTCGTTTACCTGTTTACAGTTGTGACTCAGTCAGCCCCTCTCTGAACTGTGATGATTCTGCCCATTTTTGAACTTTCTGCTTGTTTTTTTTTTTTTTTTTTTAGTTTAGTTTGATTTGGTTTGATTTTTATCATTCTGTGTTTTCTGGGTCATTGGTTTCATTTCCATTTTGGGTCATTCTTGTTGTTTTTCCAGTTGTATTTGAGTTTTTATGTATTTTTGGTTACTCTCTGTTGTCCCCTTGTACCAGTTTCCTTTCCCCTTAGCTCCCTTCTAGACCCTTCCGTCCACACCTGCTCCCAATCAGTTGATTACTCCAGTCTTTGTTCTATTTAGCATTTTTACTTCTCCTCTGGAGTTACCGGTTGCTGGATTTTCTTCATTCCTTCCCAAACCTGTTTCCTGTTTGATCTGGTTCCTTTGTTTGCACTTTTAGTCTTAGTGGAGATAAACCGATATGTTGGCAGACCAATATTTTTGGCCAGTATTAGTGAGGGGGCAGGTGTTCACTTACCTGACTCCGCCAGATGGATTTGCTCCGCATATCCATCTGGAAACCTTCCGTTGAAGTAATTTTGGGAAGTGGCGAAAATACTGGTTAGCTGATTGGCCTATGTTGGTGATAGACGGGCCAAATAAACCAATCAGATCAATGAAGCATATGACGTACTAACAGAGCGATGACGAAGAGGAACCAATTGATAGATTAAACTCTTGCTGAAACCAGTCGGGAGAAGAGCAAAAACATCTTTTCCTCTGAGAAAAGCCTCCAGAGCAGTGTTTTGCTCTTCTTTCAGTGAAGAAATACTCTGTAATTCCGATAAAACTTGCTCGATAGCCACGCTAACGCTAGTTTCATCGGCTGAAGCCGCCATGTTCTTTAGACTGAACTGTCGTGCTTCTCCTTGCGTCACACCTCAACCCGCCTCAAAGCCAACGCTGATTGGATGTTCGTTTGGTGAACGGCTCCAAATTTTCTTTAACGGAGAGTCTCCAGATTGATCTGCGAGTGAAACCTTGAAAGCTCGCGAGATCAGGATGGTCTCACGAGGCTAGGTGTTCACCGACTCATTTGTGCTTTCACCAGCTCTCCCTTTGGTTAATGTAAAGGAGATGCCAAGTTGTCCATCCTTCATATTTTGTTTAAATTTTTCTTTTTGCTTAAATTGAAACTTATATGACATCTGTTATCACTGTGTCATTTTTTATCATCTAAATGGAGAAGATAAAAAATATTGACTTTAAAAAAAATACTGCCAATATTGGAGCATTTTATATCTGACTATAATATTCAGTGCTGAAATCAACAGTCTGATTCTCAGATTTTTCCATACCTATAAATAAGTAAAAGGTACTGCAAACATTGCTATCTGCTATACTTTACTTGTACGAATCATCTAGTGTTACAAGAAGTAACTAAAATAAACTAGTATACGGTTTATTTACCATAACAACATTGTGTAGTCAATACTTATTGATATCAACTGCAACAGCAATGTTAGAAAACAATCTGTAGCACAAGAACAACAAATAAAATAGCTTTAAAATATATGACAATAAGAAATTGCATTGTACAAAAAAAGACCTAATTTAATTAAATACAGAATAAAACGTCAAACAATCTTTATTCAACAAAGATAATTTTGTTTCTGAGATGTTTACACTTGTTCTTCCATGACTGTGTGTTAATATGTTCCCAAGACTAAGTATAAGTGATGATTTCTACATGGTTAAAGATATATATCCTTTTCTAACTTAAAACAGATAAATACAAAGGCTGTGTGTCATCTGCTCTTCTAAGCAGTACAACAGGATATCATGTATAAATCTGTTTTTGTGAACAGAAAACAGTTTAGTCAGTAAACTGGATAATGAAGGCAGGCTGTAAGTAACACAGGACAAAAATCAAATGTCTCATACGTAGACTTGTCTCCTCAGCTTTTTAAGAGTTTATAGGTCATGGTGGTAGAACATCAAGTTCAAATTTTGGTTAATTATTGTCCAAAAGTAAAAGTTCCCCTGAAACGAGGTGTAAACATTAAACAAATGCTTGATTTTGGTCAAAATTGCTGAGAGTGAACAAATTATTTTGCATATCTTTGCTTTTTTTTGTTTTTGAATGTTTCTGTTTATTTACGTCAAAGTTATGGTCCACTCACATCAAGTGTGGAGTTTTATGAGTCATTCATAATCCATCTCATCAGGTTCTGATTTTTCATCATTAAATAAAGCAGCTAAACCACAACAACCACATTAGCATCAAGCTACCATAAAACCTCAGAGCCATAAATGACTGCAGAGCTGCTTTATTTGTATCCCTCTGCAGGTCCTGGGGTGTCTGCTCAGAAAGCAGGTTAGTTTGGGTTCAGAGAGAGTGCAAACAAACCGGGGTTTAAGAGTTCATACAGGCTCATAAAAACAATAATGGAGCTAATGCTATATCCCCAGAGGGGTTCTTTGTGATGAAGTGCTGTGATCAATTAAGATAAATCAAAATAAAATCATTTAAAGCTACAGTGTGTAATTTTCAGCGACATCTAGCGGTCAGACTACAGACCGCAGCAACATGAACATCTCCCCCCCACCGCTTCTCCCCCCCAACAGTACGGCGAGCGTTACGGGACAAAATTTCTTCTACGACGTCCACATCACCTACCCTCTCAAGTGATGAGGTTTGTTTACATAGATAATTTTACAGATAGTATTTCATTAGTCTGTGTAGGGTATAGATTTCATGTAGACTTAAGATAATAAATATACCCGTTATTTTTTCTACATCGTTTTGACGTCTTGGTGAGCTGCTTTGCATGGTGATATAAACAGACGAAGTAATTGTAGTCATTAGTTTAACAGCGAGATTGTGTTCGCTGGAAGAATATATATCCCCCGTTTACAGAGTCCAAGTCATTTTGGTGGCACGGGGGTTACAACGCGAGGGAGAGGGAGAGGACGAGGGCGAAGGCAGGGAGGCCGTGCAGCTAGGGCCAGGCGAGAGAGGGGAGCCAGCGGGGTGAGAGCAGAGGAGGAAAGGCTTGAAGATCTCCAAAGGAGCCGGAGAGAAGTAACCGAGGTATATATCCAGAAAATTATTTTACAGAAAATTACTGAATCATTACCTGTGAAACGTCAGGGACGTTGCTGAATAAGTATACTGGAGAGTAACAGCATCATCACGCAGCATGTTATTGTTTTAGACAGGTCTGAGCATCCTGTACTCCAAAAACTGCAGTGATATTAGACAATTGTGTGTGTAGGATTAATTACCTGTCCAAGAGAAAACTGGCAACTTGAGCGTCACTTTGAAAACCTTTTTCCTCCATCAGTGACTTCCATCGTGTAAATGCCGTGCCAATGTTGATCCGTGTTTTTTGCCGTTTCTTGTCACGCTTGCGTTTATTCTCGTCGTGTTTCCGCTTCTTAGATGACGGGGGTTCGGTGTCCGCCGCTTTTCGTTGTGATACAGAGTAGGCATGATCCTCCATTCGTCTGATGTTTGGCCACACAGTGCCAAACAGTTTGCAAAGTCACTCACGCCTGCCGCCTTGTTCACCTTTCTTGTTACTGAGGCGCAGTATACCTGCTTCTTCTTCTTCTTTGGTTTCAGGCAGACTAAACGCTTCTCAGGCATAATACTGCCATCTACTGTTCAGTACCGTCTCAGTTAATCTCTCTCAACTTGCCGTAGTTATTTTTGAGCGTCATGGGAGATCTCGCAATCGCTAGTTTGTTGCCTCTGCGCTTGCCGTAGCGCAAAGATGTCAGCCTCCATGGCTGCGAGACCCGCTCCTATGTAATTATAAATAACGAATTCTAAGGCAACGCAAATATTATGGTTAAAAGGCTGAGCTCATAGGTGATAATAAATAACATAGTTATGTATAATATATTAAATTTCTGACTTTATATGCCTGTAATTATTACACACTGTAGCTTTAAGGCTAAGATTAAATGTACTGAATGAGGAGATATTTGGGGCTAAATGAGTGATGTAAAGACAAAATGAGGAGTTTTATTCTGCAGTTTGTAATATCTTGACCGAACAGAAATAATAAACGAGCCATCAGTTGGAAATTGGACTTTTTCATGTTAAACATCTGTGCGTCAGTTGAAAGCTGTCAGAGAATCCAGATTGTGAAGATGGCTTGGTTTTTTTAAAACTATGGTTTCTTTGTTAAAACCACAAAATATAAGAGCGAGCTTTCAACAAAGTGAGATTTTGGTCCTGCTGATTGATAAACGTTATTATTAGAAGGTGCCTAACATTAGCCCTCCTTGCTACCACCACCTCTGTCTCTATTCCGCCAATCAGAGACTCACTTGCAGGCAGTGGGTTTTGCTGATTCGTCTTTACCTATTGTGTAAGACAGGGGGTGTGTTTGATTTCAGAGGCTGCATCCTCCAAGGACCCGGTCTATCTGGACTGGATCCTTTGAGGTCCTTGAAAAAAAGGAGGCCGGAGATGTTTTGACTATTGATTCAAACAGGTCCAGCCTTTAAAGGAAAAGTCCGGTCATATTCAGAATTCAAACTTCTGAAAGTATTTTAAACGTGGAATTTCTACATACTGTTCAAAAAATTATAAGTGTTTTTATTTAGGTTTTTATCTCCATGTTCGTCAAAGAACACTACTGCCACCTACTGGTTTGTGACGTCACGGTGCGGTATCGGCTGTTAAGCAAGCCCCAGTGCTGTATCTGGTGTTTGTCACAACGCGCTATTATCCAAGTCACAGTGTTTTTGTTTTTTTCTCTGGCAAGAAGTTAAATGGCAAATCCTTCCTCTTTAAGTTCGCAATCCAACGACAAACCCGTCCGTGGAGGATCATGAATGGGAAAGGGTAAATAATAATATTACAACATCCAGCTGCCATGCACGTGGGCATTGTCAGTTTCACTATAGCTCTGGTGAATTTCAATGGTGAAGTCCTCTAGAAATCTTCAATAATTGTTGTTGATTGCAGATGTGTCTAGTAGTTCCCATTGATTTTGCTTGTAAAGCGGGAGAATGGCGCTTTACACACCGTTTGGCGCTTTACACCGTGAATACACTCCTGGAAGATGTCAGGAGTGAGGTGTTACTATATTTGGGCAAAGATTTTAGGTATAGATAATGATCTATTGATTGTTCCTTGCTGGACTTTTCTGTCACAGTCTTAGTTCTGTTAAGTTTTCTTTTTAGTATTCAGTTTAACTTTGCTCCATGTATCCTAGTTTTATTGGTTTACTTCCTATTTTGTTGTGTTTTCTGGATATATTTGAGTTCTTAGGTTTTTATTTGTTGCCCTCTTGTGTTGGTCTCCTTTTCCCTACCTCCTTATACTGCTTTCTTCACACCTGCTCCCAATCAGCTCGTTAGTCCTCTCTTTGTTCAGTTTCTCATAAATACTCTCCTTGTGCAGTACCTCAGTGCTGGTTCCTTATCTTACCTTGTCTCTTCTCACCTTTCCCTGACTCCATGTGCTCTTTTCCCCCTGATGTCTCCATGGTTCTGGTTAAGTTTTACATTTTAAATTGGATTTTGGATCCCTGCCTCTGTTACATGTTTTGATTTCTTAAAAACTGCAAGACCCTCTGTCTCTCAGCCTCTGCATTTGGGTCCTAAAACCTCAACCAAACCTTGACATTTTCCTTTAACCACTTGTACGCTCTGTCGCCTTGCAACCCTAACAGTTGACACACAAATCAGGCAAAGAATGGATACCGTCACTACTGCTCTAGGTGTTAATAACATTGTTGAGGAGCTTCAGCAGCAGTACCATCGTTGCGAATATCGCATTTATAGTTCCCACCCTGCAGATATATTTGAATTTCTTCTTAAATATCAGCTAAACCCATTTGCACACGGAAGGATTAAAAATTCAATAAACCAAATATTATCTGCCACATATCTGACTCACAAACCATAAAAAAATATATATTTTCATTAATTTCATATGGTTCCTCTGAGCACGGAGCAGCCAGCTTGCTTGGACTCGCAATGAATCCTGGGTTAACCGAGGCTTTGTAGGATACACCGGACCCGTCCTTCAAAACGGGCAAAAACAAGGCTGCGTTTGTCTGCCGCATAACGAGGAGTCTTTCAATCCGAACAGGCCTCGGAGCCACACTATGACGTAATCAGCTTGCAAATCTAGACTTCGGAGGAAACAGCCCCTGAATTTGAACTCAGTGTTTTTCAACCCTGTTCCTCAATGCAGACTGTCCTGCTTGTTTTAGGTGTTTCTCTGCTTTAATACACCTGATTCAGATGATTGGAGTTCAGAAAATCCTGTTAATCTGTTATCAATTGGTATAAGGTGTGTGAAAGCCTGGATCATCACCGGGACCAGAGGAACAGAAAAAAACTATAAGAGACCGGCAAACAAAAACGTAAAAAAAAACATGGCCATCAACTAATGTTGCTAGTGCTACATGAACTTGCTAATGATAGTTGAAAAGACAAGTCAAATTCTTTTATGTAGCCTCTTTAGAAAATGATATGAAGAGGTCAGAATGAGATTGATTACGAATTATTTTCTCCTGAAAGTGAAATTGAAACTCAATTTCAGATGGATTGTATAAGTCAAACACAAGGTTATGATGCCTTTAATCAACTAATGACAAGAAAACAAAACCACTTCAAGTTCAAATTCATTCTGATGATCAGACAGATCGAGTTTTGCTTTTAGCTAAATATGCTCCTTAGATAGTAGCTGAGCAGATAAAAGAACAACAATTTTAGAAATATTATGGAGGAAATACAGATCTCTGTATGAAAAAAATAATATTTATCAGTATAGGGTTATAACAGCTAAATCTATGCAAATCAGGTGCAGCTTATGTTTTATTGCATGGTTTGTGTGTTCTGCTGCAGGCATGGCTAAATGTACACACATCCATCATCCATCCATACATTTAAAGAGAAAAGCATTTTGACCATAGGGACAAATATTTTACATACATCATTACATTTATATGCAATTTTCAAACAGCAGCAGGATGTAGGAAACTTTGCTCTGCAGTCAAAGTGGAAAAACTATCTGCAAATAAAAAAATGAACATCTGCAAAAGTCTAGAAAGAAATTAAATGAAGTTTCAAACTAAAGCAGCACCATTCCATTGTAATCTGATGAGAGGATACCTCTTGCTCTTAGTAAGCTTTAATACAAAGCCAAACCTAAGCTGAGTGCGGAACCGTAATCTCTAGAAGTGCTTATGCCATTAGGTAAACTGGAATCAGAGGCTGTCCAAAAGAGTTGGGTTAGTGCATCCAGAACGGTGTCAGCCCAAACACACTGGACCTCTGCACACTTTCCACAAGTGCCTGGAAGTATTTTATCTCTCCAAATGAGACTAGGCGGATGCTGTCAAAGCGACAAGCTCCTTATCTTCCCGCTGAGCGTCTTTCACACAGATGTGAACGGCGCTCCGCTAAGAGGATTTCTGTTTTGGTTGAAATTAATTTCTAACCAGACGGATGGATTGTAATTTGCTTATTTCTGTATGGAAATGAGTTTGTTTCTGTAATCAAAATTAGTTTTAGTGGAGAATAATTAGAAACTTTGAATGTGTGTGTGTGTGTACCTGTGATGCTCTGCGCTAACCTGTGTGTGTTTTTATGTTTCTTGATGCCTGCAGGCTGCAGGAGTTTAGCTCCTCTGTGTACTGATAAGCTCTCATCCTATGCAGAGCATCCTAGACAGATTCATACCAAACTGTGGAGTCTGATGGTAATGAAAAAAAATCAGTTTTTAAAAGAAACTGCTGCAGTACAAAGATTCTAGAAATATCAGTCCATCTGAGGTTTCACATCTTCACCTCATTTGCCTTCCTGATTTTGTGATAGCAGCCATGTTTTTGCATCTGGGGATTCGTACCTGTAGTGCCGCGTGTCTCTCAGGGCGCGGTCGCTGGGGATGCGTTCACTCTCTCTCTGGTTGAAGGCGTACAAGGTGTACGGGTCATCGCCGGGTTTCCAGCGCCGAGCGTTCAGGTAGCTCCGCTCATCAAACCCCTCCAGCATGTCCTCCCATTCTGCCTCTGAAATCTGAAAATAAGTCGGCGGTCAGATGAAGTACAGGATTATTCTAAGTCTCTGTTTTTAGACTTATTATATTTGCAAATAGAAGTCTTCCCACGCTTTCATTTAATGAGTATGTGTCAGTGATGGTTTTCCATATAGGCTTGTGTGAGAGTTGTTTTGCAAAAACTGTTATGGTAGGAAGTTCTGTCAGATCCTCGCTTAAAAAAAACTCTGAGAAAGGAGCTGAATATCTCAGAAATTAAATTCTTTGGCAGAAGTTTTTAGGTTAAGATGCCGTCTCTCTCTGTGAGGACTTTGAGAATCTCTGTAAATTGGGGCCTAGATTTGCACCTGAGCAGAGATAGAATGACGATTACTCACAGTGGCTACATTTCTTTAACCTTTTAAAGCCTGGACTATGAAATAATTGACAGATTATTTCTTTTTATATTGCAGTTTTTGAAGTTTCTGATAAATGAAATATGAAAAAAAAGCATTTGTGGAGGTAAAATGTATTTACATTAATTTTGGCACAATAGTTTTTTTGTATAATCTTTATTATGTTTTCTGTTCACTCCATGTGTCTTATAGTGTTAGTCAGGGTTTTTAAGAACAAAAATTTCACCCTCAAGTTACTGTAATTGTGTACTTTTTCTGAGTAGTTTGTAATTTTCTGAGTAGTTTTTGAAATATGTAATTTTTACTTTTACTCGAGTAAATTTTAACCTAAGTAGTTTTACTTTGCTACATTTAAAAACCCCTCACGTTACTGGGTAAAAAAAAAAAAAAAAAAATACTGATGGTGAAAAAATTTAATGTGGCCCTGCCTTGTAATTAAGTTGCTAATCACAACTTAGGGAGTATGGATGAGGAAAGGCCTGAAGAGGAAACATATTCTGGAGACAAAAATAATCCTTCCAAATATGGCCCTTGGCCATATTTGGAAGGATTATTTGTTTTCAAATGCACAAAAGGAAACAATGTGATAATGCAGTGCAACATGTGCCTGCCCAGCAAAACGGAGCTTTCGGCTTTTAAAACATCAACATCCAATTTACGAAAAAATGTGGCGGTAAGTTAGTTATCATGGTGTTGTCTGTTGGACAGTAGGATTGAAAATTGTTTGCACTTTATGGTAGAGGTAGCGACTGTCCTTGTGCTGTGAGGAAGTATGTTCCTTAGCCCAGCTGATCTTTTGCAAGTGTTGATGTCCACTGAAATAGGCCTTGAAATCGATTAAGACACCTTGTGCTCAATTCAATTCATAACTCATCCTTTTTTTGCATTAAATAACTAAAAGCAACTAAGTAACTTTTACTCAAATTACATTTTAAATGAAGTAATTTTGTACTTGAGTAAATTTTGAGATGGGTAATATTACTTTTACTCTGAGTAGAATTTAGACAGAGTAAAGATACTTTTACTCAATTACAATTTTTTAGTACCCTTTCCACCTCTGCAGAGATCTCAAAAACTATCAAATAGGATACAGTTGAGTTTAAAGGGTTTTACTACCGTGGTTTTCAGTTGAAGCCCAGTAGATTGGCTCTACTTCAACCTCACTGCAGAAAAACTTTTTTGTTTTTCTTTGTCTTAGTGTGGGCTTGAACGGATTGGTTTAAATCTGCCAACTTTCAGCTGCTGGTCTTTATTTATGGCTGAGCATGATAGATACAAATAAACGAGTTAATTGCTTTCATAAGTCCAGTTTATATCTTATGATTTTAACCCATTTGCCAATATTTTTTTGTATAGCAGTTTTAGTTTTATGACTCACAAAGCACTTTGGTCATCTAGACTCCCCCTAAAAGAGAAAAGAATCCAACTTGGATATTGATTTAGCCTTTATGAGAAACTTCCTACTAAACATAAACATTAAACAAACTAAAGCAAAGTTTAATTCATCACCTTTAGCACACATAGAATTAAATAATAAATAATATACAAACTGAGTGCTAATGTGTAATTAAACTACCAAGAAAAACTGCATTTCAGTTATTCTGAAGTGTTTCCAGCATTTAGAGGAAGTGTCATTTGGTTAAAAATAGGAAACATTAGCTCTAACTGCAGAGCAACACTTTTGTATCGCTCATCATCACATTGGATGAACAATGTGAGATTTAGTCATAAATGTCACATTCTGAGAGTCAGAAACTGGATGCTTTGCTGCATCTGCTGCTGATCAACCTTTTAAAGCATCTGAAGTCGTTTCACTGAAGGGGGATTCGGGACAGCTTTTAGCTTCAGCTCTTTGCTTTTTAATAAGATGAATGCAGGACTTAAGGTCCTCATTGCCTTCTCCATGTTTTGTGACTAAATGCTGCACTTTGTCTCTTGTAAAATGTTTGCTGTTTTAATCCTTGTCCAAGGCTGGATGGTTATGCCAGTAGAATATTCAGAGTTGATTGTTTTCAGATCACATCTAAAGATAAACATGGAAATCTGAGAAAGTTAAAATCAGCGTCAGGACCTTAACTCATGGTTTCTGTGGATTGAACAGGTGCAGCTCATGAAAGACCTTAGAAAAGATCTTTATTTCAATGATAAGTTTGGGTTCAGATTGCAATCAAGGAAGCTTCAGTCAGGATGTCTAGTCAGGGGCTGCTATGATGGACTGGTGTCCACAGTGTCTCCAACCGTCGATTTACAACCACTCTGAACATATATATATAGATATACAATACATAAATACATATTCAAGAAAGCCGCTTTAATGAACAACAACCTCTGACTCCATGGCAGTAAAATCTATGGTGGTCTATAGATCTATGGATCTATTGGCGGTCCAACATACTTCTCCTGAACATCAGAGCTTTAAAAACACGTCTTTTCCTTAAGTTCCTCTTTATACAACTACTATAGTTTTAACATAAATGATATATTAAAACCATAGATTAATCTTTTCTATCAAAATGATAAATTATTCAAACATGACATTTCCTCAGAATATCTAGAGTTGTAGGAAGAAAGTATAAAAATAGATATATCGACTGTTTACAAATGATTGTTTTATGACACTTTGATGTATCCAAAATATAAATATTGACTTCCTATTGGTGATTCTGCACCAATAGCAACAGTAGATTGAAGTCATGTCAGACGAAGAAATTACTTCTTCGTGGCATTACATTTCTTAGATTCAAGGAAAGCAAAAACAAAAAAAGAGGCAAAACAATGGTGAATGTCAGTTCAGCTTTTTAGTGTTTGGGCCGATTTAAGACGCAAAGTGGGAAGTTGGCAGAGGTTGTAAAGTTACAACTAAGGTCAACATTTGCATTGCTGGACTTGGTAGCCTGTTAGCAGTCAAGAGCTGGTGAGCACTAGTGCACCACAAACGACTTCCCATTCCCAAGAGGCGGACCCGTTCATCCGGTTCAATTTGCATGTTTTCTAACCCATAACAAGGCTACGTTGGGCTACGCTATAAAGCCTCGAACCCAACGCTAATTCTGACATTTTTAATTGGATGGGAAGCAAAACGTCTTCAAACTTGGAAACAAAGTCCTGTGCATCGTTGTTTTCAGAGATGGGAAGTAACGAAGTACAAATACTTTGTTACTGTACTCAAGTAGATTTTTCTGATATTTTTACTTTACTTTAGTACTTATTTTTATGGCGACTTTTTACTTCTACTCCTTACATTTTTACACAAATATCTGTACTTTCTACTCCTTACATTTAAAAAATTGGCTTGCTACTTTAGTTTTGAATCATTTCAATGGAGTTCCCGTTATTATTTTTCACGTCATCAAAACCAAATTCAATCTAATTGGATGGGAATCTACGTTGCATTTGACGCACCACTACAAGATGAATCGACAGATTCGGTGGTATTCATTCGCGGCTAAGCATTGCAGCTTGGTGGCGGTGGCGTTTAGCATAGTAGTATGGACGACGAGATGATTGAAAATGAACACAAGGGAGATCTAGTCCTATTGGCAGACATCCATTTAAAATGTAGGCAACGGCATGAAAAAAGTGGTTTCTACTTTTACTTTTATACTTTAAGTAAATTTACAAGCCTGTACTTTGTTACTTTTACTTGAGTAAAGAAGTTTAATCAGTACTTCCACTTTTACCAGAGTATTTTTTAACACAAGTATCTGTACTTTTACTCAAGTACGGAAAGTGAGTACTTCTGCCATCTCTGGTTGTTTTGAGGGTTTCAGACAGAAAAAGCAGCTAATAGATGATCATTTAAAGCCAATAATTTAAGCTAATTTCCTACTGTGCTATTATTTACTAACATACAGGTGCTGGTCATAAAATTAGAATATCATGAAAAAGTAGATTGATTTCAGTAATTCCATTTAAAAAGTGAAACTTGTATATTATATTCATACATTACATACAAACTCATATATTTCAGATGTTTATTTTGTTTAATTTTGATGATTACAAATGACAACAAATGAAAATCTCAAATTCATCATATCAGAAAATTAGAATATTGTGAAAAGGTTCAAAATTGATGGCCCCTGGTGCCACACTCTAATCAGCTAATTAACTCAAACCACCTGCAAAAGCCTTTAAATGGTCTTTCAGTCTAGTTCTATAGGCTACACAATCATGGGGAAGACTGCTGATTTGACAGTTGTCCAAAAGACGACCATCGACACCTTGCACAAGGAGGGCAAGACACAAAAGGTCATCGCTAAAGAGGGTGGCTGTTCACAGAGCTCAGTGTCCAAGCACATTAATAGAGAGGCGAAGGGAAGGAAAAGATGTGGTCGAAAAAAGTGTACAAGCAAGAGAGATAACCGCACCCTGGAGAGGATTGTGAAACAAAACCCATTCAAAAATGTGGGGGAGATTCACAAAGAGTGGACTGCAGCTGCAGTGAGTGCTTCAAGAACCACCACACACAGACGTATGAAAGACATGGGTTTCTGCTGTCGCATTCCTTGTGTCAAGCCACTCTTGAACCACAGACAGCGTCAGAAGCGTCTTGCCTGGGCTAAAGAGAAACAGGACTGGACTGCTGGTGAGTGGTCCAAAGTCATGTTCTCTGATGAAAGTAAATT